GGAGTGCAAATGTCTAACATGTGGTTATTTGTCATTTAGAAAAAGGCTGGGATTGGTATGTGTGTGAAGGTTTTCAGTACATACTTTACCAACAAGCAGAAGCCCTAAAGGCCCTTGGAGTGGGCCCTGAGTTAAAGGTAAGTCTTCCAGTGTCTAGATGTTACCTTTACATTTCATTGCTGGAAGAGTAAGATTCAGAGTAGAATTAAAAAGAAATCATTATTAGTGCTAGGGGTTAGGGGCTTTGATCCTGACTAGAAACATAGTCGTGTATAAGTTGTTTTCTTTCTCTGATCCTTAATTAAAATGTACAAGAAAGGGTTTAATTAAGTGATCTATAATGTCCTTTTCTTCTCTGAAATGTAAGATTAAGAAGAGCTATTCCATTTTCCCTACATACCTGCTATTATGCTATCTTTCTACTTGAGGAAAAGCAGGCATTTAGGTGAAAGCAGTATATAAAGTACAAGAGGTTCTGTGGTACATATGCACCTGAACATTTGTTGTCATAACCTAAATCACCACTCATTTCCCTTCCACCTTAGAATGAAGTTTTACATAATTTTTGGAAGCGCTACCTTCAGAAGAGCAAGCAGGCATATTGTAAAAACCCAATATATACCAGTGGAAGGAAAGCTAAGGTAAGTCACAAGTCTGAGAAGTGGGATAAAAGATGTGTAGTGAGTCAGAGCTGGAAATATGGGGTTTGTGAGTAGTTTGAGTATGGGATTGTGATGTTTTAGAGGATTTTGGTGAAGAAGCTTTCAGTTTAGTCCAGGACAGGGTCTCTGATTTAGACATCAAAATGAATTTTGACTTCTTATTAGACTAATTAATTTTTTAGATAGAAGCTTTTTAAAAAATATTTTTGTTGTAGATGGACATAATAACTTTATTTATTTAYTTATTTAATGTGGGGCTGAGGATCGAACCCRGTGCTTTACAAGTGCTAGGCAGGCAGGCACTCTACCACTGAACTGCAACCCCAGCCCTAGGTAGAAATTTTAAGGAATTTCTAAATGTGCTATTATTAAAAGTTTGTTTGTTTTCTTTTTTGTGTGTTACTCTTTTTGCTTGGATTACTTATTTACTTTACCTGGCATTTCAAGATTCAGCTCAGTTATCTCTTCTCAGAAGCCTTTTTTTTTTTTTTTTTAAATATTTATTTTAGTTGTAGTTGGACACAATACCTTTATTTATTTTATTTTTATGTGGTGATGAGGATCGAACCCAGGTCCTCATGTGTGCTAGTGAGTGCTCCCGCTGAGCCATAATCCCAGCCCTCAGAAGCCTTGATGTGAGGAAAAATAAACCCACGTACCCCGTTCCCTACATCTACTAGAGCCACTGTATTTTTGGCAGCTTGTTTTTGACTGCTTTGCCGATGTGTCATGAAACGTTTGTTTGGTTTAAAGACAGTTCCACTGCTAAGAAAGGCCAGTTTGTGTTTGATATGCAGTACTTGCCCTCCAGGACTGAGAAGAAGAGATTCTTAATCTGTTTGATTCCCATTTGCTAAGAGCTTGGGAATTTGTTCCTGTGTTTCCTTGTTTGTTCTGGTCCTCAGGCTCAACATGCAGAGTTCAGTGACCTGGCACCGAGAAGCCCAGGTCTGTGTGAAAGGAAGAGGTTACAGAGGTGAGACGAGGAGGCATCTCTGAGCTGCTAGTATCTGCAGTGCTGCTGGTCCTAAGAGTGAGAAGTTTAGAGTAAGCAAGTCATTCAGGAGATGATTATAGGGGGAAGAAAAATTAAGGAATTAGTTTGAGAAACTTCTTAAAAATGTGAYACCATGAATTTAAACTCAAGAAAAATAACTTGAATGTACCAGGAAAATAATATTTTATGGTCAGAGTTATGATACATTATCCTATCTTGATATAGAAGACAGGTACTTCTCAAGAAAAGCAAAAGATACTGTATGGTTCTAAGATGACAATTTAGAAAAGAAAATAGCAGCCAAACTAGTAACAACTTGATCTTAAGATTTCATAGCTGAGATTTTTTTATATTATGTTGTTTTTTGTTTTGTTTTGTTTTGATACTGGGGATTGAACAGGGGCTTTTGACCACTGTGCTACATCACCAACCCACCCCACTTTTTAAAATTTTTATTTTGAGACAGGGTTTCACTAAGTTGCATAGGTCCTAAGTTGCTGAGGCTGGCCTCCCATCTTGAGATACTCCATCTCAGCCTCCTGAGCTTAGCTGAGGTATTCGTTGATTGTATTTGGGACTTGTCTAACACATAGAAAATATAAAATAGAAACCTAGGGTTCTCTGTGGCATTTAAATATTTTCAAGTTAGTGTAAGATTTAAAACCAAAAAGTTTTGTTGGTTTAAGTAAACATCTGGATAAAGCAGTATTAGTGTCACACTCAAATCTTGGTAAATAAATAAGCACAAAGAAAAATTTTAAGCTAATATATAAATTGGTAGTATAATTTCATTTGCTAAAGTACAGCTATATTGTTGTGTGTTTACGTGTGTGCTTGTATGTGTGTGTTTGGGAGTAGGTGTTGAGGATTGAACTCAAGGCCTCATACATGCTAGGCAAGTACTTTATGGCTGAGCTATATCCCTCRCTCCTATACTGTCTTTTGAAAGGAAGGGGAACCCTGACTTTTGAATTAGAAGCTTGGAGGCTGGTCTGTGACTCCGTGGTAGACCTCTTACATAGCATGTTCAGGGCTCTGGATTCTATCCCTAGCATTGCAAAAGAAAGAAAGGACTTAGAAGCTTAACCTTTTCAAACACCCAATAAATATTTTTTTGTAGTGCTTTGGGTGTGACTATTTCAGAAGCAGTAGGAGGCCTGTATTTGAATCCTGGTCCTACTACCTTGAGCGGTGGAATCTACTGGAAACTTGCAAAAGAAAACCAGTAAACAAGCAAATATATATAAATCAGGGTAAGGGGAATAAGAGTGGGACTGCAGGGAAGGATGCTGTGTTGTCAGGTGGTCAGGAAGGCCTTCCTGAGGATGGAGCTTAAGGAAGTGAGAGAGAAGATACAGGGATATGGATAAGAAATGCAGAATTTCAGGCCTCACCCAGACCAAACCTAAATCTGAATTTTAACAGACCCCTAGATGCTTCCTTTATCTACTAAAGTTTGAGAAGCACTGCCCTAGGTAAGCCCTGGTGGGGGCTGGGAACAAATGGAATCCTTGGAGATAAGTGGTTGAATCCTAGATAAACTTTGAAGATAGAGCCAACAGGATTTCCTGATGGACTGGATGTGGGGTGTGGGAGAGAAAAGGGTGACTATTATAAAGTTTTGGGCCTGAGCAGCTGAAGCAAGGAATTACTATCAACTGAAATGGCAGGTGGAACAAGAACATCAGGAGTTTAGTTTGGGGCATGTTAAAAGTTTGAGACAGGTATGAGACATCCAAGAGGAAATGTCAAGTGCAGTTAGACATTTAAGTCTGTAGTTCAGGAGAAAAGTCTAGGCTAGAGATAGAAATTGAAAGCTCTCAGTTTGCACTACCATCATTAAATCTAGAATGCTATTGTTTATAAGATACACCATTATTGGAAGTACTCAGAAAAAAAAATGCTGCAGATTAAGTCATGATGTTCCACCAATTATAATCTACATCGTGATTTCAAGGATGTTAAAATAAGGGGATAAAGTATATTTCATAATTAAAGTATAATAACTAATATTTAAAACCATAAGGCTGGTGGACATCACCAGGAAGTTAATTGATTGCAGTTGGGGCATAGATAGATTGAGAGAAGAGAAATTTGAGGTAGCACTTCAGAACTTTATTGAAGAATTTTGCTGCAAAGAAGTACAGAGAAATTGTGTGGGAGCTGAGGTCAAGAGGAAGTTTTTAAAAAAGTAGTATAAATGAGGGCATATTTGTGTACTGATGGAATGATACAGGAGAGAAGAAGTATTCACAATAGAGAGAAAAAAATGGAAATGTTATCTTTGAATAGGTAAGAGAAGTAGAATCGATTGCACAAATGGAGAAATTGGCTATAGGTGGGAGTTTGGATGATCCAGAAGAATTGGGAAGAGGGCAAAGGATAATGTGAGCTGCTCATAGGTGCTTGCTGCAGGAGCCTGGGGAAGTTTGTTTGTTTTTTTTCTTATTTGTAGATGGACASAATACTTTTATTTTATTTACTTGTTTTATTGTGGTGCTGAGGATTGAACCTAGTGCCTTGCAGGTGCTAGGTGAGTGCTCTACCGCTGAGCCACCAGCCCATTCCCAGGAGTTTTCTTCTGATTGCTTCAGTTTTCTTAGAGTCCATGCCTTACCTTTTGTGGCTTCCCCACAGGGAGGGAGGAGTTATGCTTGACAGAAAATGCCAGCATTTTATCCCATTCCCTGTTTTTTTTTTAAGTTTCATTCTCTAGTGAGCTTCTTAAATATGTCTTATCAACTTGTAATAGGATCAAGTTTCTTGACCTGAAGGGCTAATATTGATGCTTTTTGCTTGCAACCAGTTCCTCAAGGTAAGGTCAGCTAATGAGGTTGTTAGCCAGCCAGCTGACCTTCTTAGTGACACTCTGATCACTTCATTCACACTTCGTGTGTGACCTATCAACCAATGGGATGAGATGGTACATCCTTGTCGATTATATGTTATAAACAGTAAGTGCTATAGGAATTCAAAAAATGAGAAATCATAGAAGAAGAATGGGTTGGAAAGAGCATAATAGATGAAGTAATGAATTGGAGAGAGGGAGAAGAAAAGAAAGACAGTTCAAGCAGGAGAAACAGAATGAACAAGATTAGGAAGCAAAARTTCCCCAGGTAGGTTTTGTAGAAGGAAGCCAGACAGTGTGCATGAAGCCATTATTTGCTGATGTTTTCATTATGAGGATATTAGTGCTATAAGATAAGTGTGTGTGGGGGGGGAGGAGGAGACCCTTCTGCTCTGCTGGCTGCATTTCTTCACTCATCCTTGTCTGTAGCCCTTCTTCTTCTTCTTCTTCTTCTTTTTTTTTTTAATATCTTATTTTTATTTGTTCATTTTTATGTAGTGCTGGGGATCGAACCCAGGACCTCATGTGTGCGAGGCAAGCACTCTACCACTGAGCTACAACTCCAGCCCCTGTAGCCCTTCTTTAAGAAGCATTGCTAGGGGCTATCCGGGATTGTRTTTCAGAAGTAAATACTTTTCAGAGTTAGGGACTTGGCAGCTCTCTGTAATATTTCTCTTATGGTATTTATGATGGTAAAGAAGTTCACAGAAATTAGCTGTTTTAAACTCCTGTGCAATATTTTTATTTAAATTATTTTGTGAACAGATTTTGGAAGATGACCTAAGTCAGTCGGACTGGGCTAGTGAGCCTGAGCTGCTGAGTGATGTTAGCCATCTGACTTTTGTTGAAAGTGAAGCAGAGTCTCAGCCTGATGCCCAAACTCAAAAGCCTTTCCCCATCACCAAAGCATCACAACCAGGTAAAAATCAGAACTTAAACTGTTCAAAAATTTAAAGCTAGTACTGCATCTTAAAAATAGTTTAATCCTATCTTGTGATATTCTCAGAAAGGGAATTTGATCTAATGAAGAATGACTTGCTGAATCTCATGCCTGAGAAAAAGGCAAATTAAATAAAATTTTGGTGCAGTTTTTAAAAAGGTACATTATCTCCAGGTGAGTAAATTTGTATGATTTTTGAAGGGAGATAAAGAGAAAGTAGATCCAGAAAGAAGGAAGCTAGATCAAAAAAGAATGTGTGTGTGTGTGTGTGTGTGTGTGTGTGTGTGTAATGTGGGCTTAGAATTTTCAAAGAAGTTTGTAGCAGGAAAAATGTAACTTTGCATGATAATATACAGTTTCTAAGTATAGCTTAAAGCAAGCTGAATAAAATTTACTGTGTTATGTGTATGTCTTTTTAATTTTATTCTATAACTTTAAATATTTAAGAATATACTTAAGATTATGGATATAGACCTTCTCCATAAAATATTTATTTGTTTTAGTTGTTCCTTCAGTACATTTTTTTTCTTTATAAAATCATGGTGGAAAACAGACCACAGAGAACTTAACCAGGCTTTTGTTACAGGTTATAACAATCTTGATATGTGCTGATAAGATTTCTTTGGGAAATAGGCTCCAACTTCTCTGGCATTAGGGGTTGTTTATTGAAATCTTGAGTTTACAGTGGTAATATAAAATTTGAAACAAAATATTTCTTTCTTTCTTTATTTTTATGTGGTGCTGAGGATCGAACCCAGTGCCTCACCCATGCTAGGCAAGTACTTTACCACTGAGCCATAGCCCCAGCTTGAAACAAAATATTTCTTGTATGGACTGTTTCTTTGCAAACCTTTACTTGCCAAAGGTTAAAAATTGTTATCAGCCAGCATATCTCCATGTCTTGCTGGACTGCACAGTGACACAGATGTCAGATAAGTTAGTTTTTGTGTCCAAATAAGTCAAGTGTTAGAATCAGAGGATGATTGGACAGCAATGACTCTTTGGAATTTTCTTCTTCATGTTTTCAGACAACCTTAAACTCAGACAGTCTCTTACATACTGTGACTCTAAAACCATGCAAGCCTTTTAAAAGAAGATGTTGATTACTTTTAAAGCATCACAATTGTTTTGTTTACCTTTGTTAAGGATTTTTTTGTTTGTTTTTTTAGTAGATGATGATTTTTAGACCTGTTAGGTTTTATGCTAAATTCATGAATGCAYCTCAATACAGAACTATTAGATGAAGATACTCACAAAGAAAATAAAATCAGGGGCTGGGGATGTGGCTCAAGCAGTAGCGCGCTCGCCTGGCATTCGTGCGGCCCGGGTTTGATCCTCAACAGCACATACAAACAAAGATGTTGTGTCTGCTGAAAACTAAAAAAAAATATATATTAAAAAAATTCTCTCTCTCTCTCTCAAATAAATAAATAAATAAATAAATAAATAAATAAGATCACTGGTTTTTGAACCACCCAGAAATAACCACTACTGCTGTAGTTGATCATCTAAAAGTTCTTTCTTTTTTTTTTTTTTTTTTTTTTTTAA